TATTTCATTTTTGGTAATTGCATTCAAAAATACTGGGCAATTCTACAGCAAAGGTAATACTGGTACCAAAATGTCATGTGTTTAGTAAAGAGTGCAATGCATTATGCAGTATAATTTTGATAGCTGGGATACAACAGTAGAGAACTGATTGTACTTCAGGCAAAGCAAGTCAGTTCTTTTCAAATTGTAGCCAGGTTCCATTGTAATTCCTTTACCGTGGAACTAGCCTACTCTATAAAAGTGTTTCAAACACTTTTTTTGTGGATCTGTCTTTAGGAGCCTCCCTGCAGTCCCCAGGTACCTGCTATTCTGCCCAGAGAGACAGAGGTACACTGTAGACCAGGGTTATTCAACTCACGGTCCTCGAGGTCCGAGCACTGCTGGTTTTCCAGCCTTCCTTTACCTGTCAGTCAGGTGTGAAGCCTCTGACCAATCAGAATCAGTCATTATTAAACAACTACTTGGGAGAACTGAAAACATGGCCTGGATTTGGAATCGAGGTCCAGAGTTGAAGAACCCTGCTGTAGACTGAGCAGGCCTCTGTCTTCAGCTGCATGTGTCCAGACGGTGTTTCAAAGCCAAGCAGATAAGCAGGCACGCTGCCGGGAGAACAGGCAAAGGGAACTGGTAGGAGTTATGGTCAGCCACTGGGGAAGGTTCCGGAACCCTCTTGGGCACAAGACCAACCAGTAGGAGGAACTTGCTCAATCTAAGCAGCCTAGAAGTCATGTAATCGCACTGGTCGGATGATTGTAATTACCAATAGCTGGGTTGGGCAACAATAATTAGTCAACTAAATACTTGAACATCTTAAAATAATTCAAATAAATAATTCTTCTTCCTTCTTAAGCTGGAAATGATTAATTTCTGCAACTGTGATTATACATAAAAGGGAAGTTATTTGTTTACAGATCAAACAGAGAAATGCTTAGAATTGGAGCCGGACCTTCTGATTAGAAGATTCCTTGGAATGTGCAAGGTGTACGCAGAAAAATGAAAGGCCTTGACTATGTTTGAGATTTAATCAGGACGAAGTTTTGGAAACGCTTGACGAAGTAAACAGCGATCGTGAATCTACGTGATTTTGCCGCTATCTGCCAGGTACGTGGAGGATAACGCGGCGTGATGAGTCGCAACAAAACAACGGAGCTTCCAGCCAGCTGTCCTGACAAATGGCTCTACTTTCACAAAAACAGAGTTCAGATGTACATACGCCACTTACATGCACAAATAAATGTGCCCCGTTAAAAGCAGTATTAAACTGAGCGATCAGTTTTTTAACTCTCAAGCTAATTATATATTTTTAATTATTTACAGCAATAATTGTTATAACTTATAAATATAGGCTACTTGTTATTGTATCGTTTACTGTCGCCTTAAACCTGAAGCTGAACAATTTAATGTCTATCTATAACATGATCATGATATCCCTTTAGCCATGGGAACATATGTTTTATATTGACTGCTTATTCAATTAGTATGTTGTATTCACTCCTCGGATTAAACGGTAATTAACGACATTTCAACATGCACGTCGCATAAAGAAGCCACTATGTCTTTATCATCCACCCCTGTTGTGAGCTGTATCCCGTTATCTCTGTTTCTTTAGCAGTTTTTCTAACGGGCCTCTTGACATTTCACTTTCTATACCTGATGCGGGTAGGCACGTGATGATAATTAAGTGAAAGCCTTTAATTTTTCGTCCTTGAAATTTTAAATTTTCGGTTTAAAAGTGACACATCGTGCTGTTTACATCTCTCAAGAAAACGGATTCCGGGGCCGTGCCATTTAATATGCAGCGCCGAGATGCAAATACGCTGCCCAGAGCATCGCTGCTGTTCATCGGGGTCAAAGACGTGCTGTGCTCCCCGTGGGCACGCGCTATTTCCAGCGTGTTCTCGCAAGAACAAAAGTGAAAAAACGTATTAAACAATACATTTATACATGGTTTCTGCATAAAACATTTGCAAATTTGAAATATGCATAACCTCCAAATGCGGTCGCATAATTTAATGCCTTTTTGCATAATGCAAAGCAACTGGAAGAAAAAACCTTAACAGCACATTGGTACAGCAGAAGACGATGCTATTGCAACGGCTGACGCAAGTGTTCTTGAGCAAAGCTGTACTCGAAGCTTTCATGGTGACAATTTGTATTATATATCTGTTTGTATATCTCTCTTTCTAGTGTTGCAGAAGGCTGGGTGTATGCGTGGTTTACGTAAGATGTAAAATACTTTTTGAATGGGAACCTTCTTCATTTAAAAGTAGCCTGCAATGAGTCAGTAGGAGGATACATTCATATTCATGAATACAGTTACATTGTAGACATGCAAATCGTTCAGAGACTGCATTAGCTCCATAGGGGTATTTGATGTTTACTAAATTGCGCTGTCCACGATATGGAAAAGTCTGTTGTAGCTCCCTTTGGATTATGCTGTTCATGCAGGGATAGAAAAGAACGGAAGTGAATAAAAGTTAGTTTTAGAATATTATGAAGACCTGTTACGCATATTAATGACGTGGCGAAGACTTAAAAATATTGGCAGTGTAGTGCGCTTTCGGAATTGCGCAACAGGTGTAACGCGCAAACAGGATTGCTTTGCTGGAAAGGTCTGGTTCTTACTCAGATATAAGTCGGGTGATGCTGCTTGACAGAAACGGTCTGACTTTTTAATCAGAGAATGTTATCTTGTTGCAAAAGCCTTGTTTGCCTTTGCTGTCTACCAACGCTGTGAATTCTATCACTGGCGAGTCGAACCTTGTTCCATTTACGTTCTATGACCGAGCTATATATTTTTTTTTAGGTATATTTATATTTCTTTATTTAAAGTACTGCCAAAATAGACATTGTTTAGAAAGAATCAGATCTTAAAATACCGAGTTTCTGTTTGCTTCTAATTATCAGAGATGCGCCTCGGGTTTCTTTAAATAGCTTTTAGAAATGTGAATGCAATTAGTGTGCTCCCTCTTAGAGTGGCGCATCTCATAATTTGATAGATCATTAATCTATATGCAAATGTTTGTTTGTTTTTTCCTGATGCTTTAATGCTAGATATCCTGCATGGCCATGAGTGTGAGAACCATAAAAAAGCCTGGTATACCTGCATTTCTGATTAATCAGTCAGATCCACTGAAGGCGGTTCTGCTGATAAAATACCGTTTGCTTTCTAATGTTCTGTCAGTAACCTCAGAAGGTTGCAGCAGTTGTGTGTGCATGACATTGTTATGCTAAATGTACAAAAAGTTTCAAATGTAACACTTCAAAGGCCATTAAAAATGTAATGTTTGATATATTCCTTATGGAGTAACATCCAGGCTTTCATTCAGCTATCATTAATATTTATGATTTAATTTAATCAGTTTAATCACATTCATTCTAATATTTACTTAGGTGGTGTTAGGAAATTATACATCCATATTCTAATCACTTATCGAGTACAGTGTAAGAGGGGAACTGGAGCCTGTACACACACACACACACACACACACACACATACGTTCAATGTGCAATCTCGAGACTCCAGTTCACCTAACTGCAAGTCTGGGGACGGCAGGAATAAAATGGTATCCATTGGCAACCGCAACAACATCTGGAGAAGGTACAAACTCCACACATACAAGCCATGGGTGGGATTTGAACCACCAACCCTGGACGGGTGAGACAACAGTCCCCCTGAGCCCATGTAAGAAAATAGTCATGTTTCAATCACATGTCCCTGTTGATGATAGTGTCAAGGGCACCTTGGCTATAGACAGGACTGGAGGCAAAGATTTAATTCATAATAATTTCAGCATCCTCCAATATCTTTTATAATGTGTGTTCGTTTTTTGGCGTTTGAGATTTAATTATTTGACATTTGAAATGACATTTTAACAGACATTATCCTTTAAAGGCTAGCAAGTAAGACAGCCTTCCTCTTCCTGAGTGTGGAATGTCACTGAGGGACTGTCGTTATTTCCATGGGACAGGAACGTCCTTGTGATCGACTCTACACTGCGCCTTGCTGTGGCCCCTGATTAGTTGTAAAAGGTTAATTGTCATTTATGGCAGCAAACTTTTACCAGGCAGCTTGACAAATTGAGATTCTAAGGCTTACAATCTCACTGTCGTTAAATATGCTAATGGCGGCCCTGCAGATGGTGAACCATCAAGCTCTAATAGGCTTTAAGGGACTGCAAATCTGCTATGCAGATTTGTTAAATACCTCTGATTGGCTGGCATTGTAAGACAAGTACTCACCCAACTACAGGTGCCTGGAGTAAATTTCTTGTGAGCGTTTGAGTAATAACGCAGAGATACCCAGAATTCTAACTGAACAAACAAAAAGCATATTTTGTCTAATTCATTTATTCCCGTCTCCTTCACAGTATGTGGCTACTGTATGAAGGGGGCCTTACTTTAAGTGCTTTTCAGTATCTCCGTTATAAAATCACTTTTTCTGATCTTTTTGTTGGAAACCCAAACTTCACAATGTTTGTTCTACAGCCTGAACAAATCTGTCTTGGTGCACTGATGACAGATGGGCGGTGGACCAGGCCGTTTGCTCTGCTTCCTGCCTTTCATGTAAGCGCTGGATTTCAGCCTAAACGGGCCGATCTCTTAATCCTCATTGAACTCCCTGTGTCGTTTTATCTATGCCAAGCCTCTGCCAGAGTGATTTACATTTCAATGGGCCATCCACCTGTCTGGCCTCACAAGGCAGCCCGTAAGCCACTCCACACCGCCAAACTCTGCAATATACGCATTTGGTTGCTCATAACCGCAAACAAACAAAAAAGCTTCTTCAAAACAAAAGGTCGTCTACCAGAGAGAGAGAGAGAGAGAGAGAGAGAGAGAGAGAGAATCATAGGCCAGGGGTAAGGGGTCAGCAATAGCCTACATTCATTATCATCATCTGCAGCTTCAAAACTATTAAAGCATCCATGCATCAATGTCCCACGATTTCTTATGCAGTGCAAGGGATTGGCAGTAAAACAACAACCTCACACCAGCAGGGATGGGATTCAAATTTGTATTTAACACGTCTGTATCACCTCTGTAACATCTGTACAATCTTCCAAAGTGTTTTTCCAAGTACAGGGTTGTGAGTATGCATACAAATATACATCTATAGTCATTTATGTGTGTATATACAAACATAAATAAATGCAACGTATATAGTATGTGAACAGTTTGTGGATGAGTGATAATCACTGATTCTGAATCGCAGGGCTTTTTCCACGTCCTTAATCCGCTGCTCATCTGGTAACGTCTCAATTGCTCCCTGTTGTTTTGGCTTGGTGTGCCTTCTCCGTACAAACCGTTCCTCGAGTTTGCTGACCCCTGTCAGCGGCTGACAAACAGCGCACAGATGAAAGCTTCCTGCTACGCGATTGTGCTGTTTTCACTCTGGGGGGGATTGCTCAGTCCTTACAAGGTCACTGCGTTTCATTTCCAGCAGAGAAATGCAGAATGAAGAGGCTTGCTCTCTCACTCTCTCGCCATCTTTCTCTCTGCGGTCCTGGCTCCCGTTCTGAGAGAAAGGGTTGGTCCAAGAACAACCACACCATATTCATGTTCGTTCAAACTCACTGTGTTGATTAAAGGCTTTTAATCTACCCATACCCAGTACACTGTGCCAACAGAACACCACTTTGTAAATAACGTCTAAATGTTATTCATCTTCACTGTGCTATTGCATATCTAATTGTCTATCTATTGATTTTTTGAAGACTGTTCTTCCTGGTACTGGGAAGAATAAGTAATCATTCCAATGTGCTTGTTACATACGGCCATTAAAACATCTTGAATAAACCACATTTCCATTTTATTGCTGCAGTGAATCACGTGACCGACCGGAACCAAGGCAGGACAGATATGAACATGTTTGTTTCCAACTGATGGGATATATCTCTGCAGAAAGGCAAGACAAGAGCATTACATTCAGCTTCTACTTTCAATCTATTGTTGTGGGAGTCTGTTATACAATGGCAACTGCCAGCCATAATAATGAGTGAGTGATGCTGAACTGCTTCTAGCTGTCAGCCTCGAAACAATAAGAGATGGAATAAAATAAAAATCATTCATCAATAATTTGAGACTTTTCAGTTTTCGAACAATGGCAAATTAAGCCTTTTATAGTTCACGCTCGGGTGTCGGAGAGAAATTTAAAAACCCAAAAGTGGGTTTAGGTTATGTTTACGAAATGCTTGTGCTTATAGCTACAGGTCAGATTCAGTTCTATATTCCAGCTAACAGGCTCGAAAGGGCAATATTCAGTGTAAATTCACATTTGTTAAACGCTGCATGCGGTGTGCTATTCCTGACTTCTCACTCTGTCCTCGTAAGCGCCACGTAAGGACGAGACCATCCCAACGTCATCAGCAGAGCGGTTTTGCTGACGGTGCTCCGGGACGCATACAGCTAGTTTTGACATTTTAAGCGGAACTTAACATTAGCGTTAGCGTAAGCATTGTAACAAACATTTCAATTCAAAGCCCCATGCTGGCAAAAACTACTGCTTAAGCGAGGAATGAGGCTCATTAGAGCCACAGACTCTTACACTTACTATAATATGTTCTAACGTCTGTACTGAGCTATCATTTAGTTTGTTGTATCATTACTGTAACTGTGACCGTAATTGCACTAATATTTCAGTTACATGGCAGGAACAGTGTATGTCAAATTGGGTTCCTTGGCCTAAATCACAGTTAAAACATGCTTGTTTTTATTACTATCAGGTCTGAATCATTACCGAATAAGCATAAGCAAGCGTGTCGCACTGAGTCAACAGAACGTGATTTCACTTTCTGGTTCACACCTTCCTTCCTCCTGCTGTGTGAACCGTGCAGAGTCTTTGGGGGCGAAGCTGGACAGCGGAGACATCCATGAAGGAGGCTGCAGGCTTGCGTTTGGGAGACGCGCGGCTGTGGCGGTGGGTTTTCTCATGCCATCGTCAGATAATCAAGGCTGTGATGTGATGATTTCTAACGAGCTACCGTTCTGTCTTTGTACTAATTATTGTTGATGATGTAGATGGGTCTCCATATCTCGTTATTTTTTTTTTATTGGCTGGAAAACCGAATGAAAAGTAGCAGCTGAAAGGGGAGCCTTCCTCACAATGGCAGCAGACACAATAATAAAGAGTGAAACCAGGTGTATCTGGCTACTGTCGTGTTATGGTTTTGGCTTTAATGTGGCTCACTTGTGCCACAGATGACTGACATCCCTGTAAAATCACAGGCGGTTCCTGCCGGCCGTTCCTGCTACCTCGTTTGACTCGTCAGTCATCTCTGGACGAGCGAGTGTCGTGGTCGTAGTCGCTCGCCGCTTTCCGTCAGATGCCCCCGGCTCCGTGGGCTCCCCTAGCGGCACTCTTCTCCGGGTTCTTCTGGAAGCAGTAGACCCCGTAGAGGCGGAACTTCTTGTCGGGGAAGCCCAGGGTGCGGACGCCGGGGTGCGAGCCGCCGCAGCGCGCCCGCGGGTTGACGATGGGGTAGCGCACGCTGCCGTCCTCCAGCCAGCCGGCCTCGCAGCGGTCCAGAAGCTGGATCTTCCACGCCGCGTACAGCTGGCCCACCTTAGCTATCGCGGAGCCGTCGCGCAGACAGGCCTTGGCTGCCTCAGCGTAGGTCACCTTCTTGAAGCGTTTCAGGAAGTACACTTTGCCTGGGAAGGAGATGGGGGTGGGGGGACACCATGAGCTGCTCGATGTCACCAACTCCACAACGTCCACTCCACAGGTACTGGAGAACGTGGGCAACCCACCCATATTTAATTTGAATTCATTCACCCCCCCAAATAAACAGACCTTTCTATTTAAATTATTAAGTTGCCCCCCCATCCCCCAATATCAAACTGTCTCCCCCGCTGTTGCCTGTCCCCTTCCATGTGGACCCCAGTTAGGGGAAATGACATTGACAGAACCAGCCTCTTATAAACCCTATCTATAGGGGGTGCTGTGGGGCTCAGTCGGTTAAGTCTCTGCGCCTGTATTCGGAAGGTAACCGGTTCAAACAGCCTGGGTACACTTCCACTGCGCCCCTGAGCAAGGACCTTAACCCCCAAATACTCCAGGAACCCTGGACAAGTAACGTAAACCTGTGGTCAGACCCCAAGCTTTGCTCTCAGCTGTACGCATCTCTGTATATTTGTGGGATATGCATAATAAGCATTTTATATCTATCTGTCTATCTACTCTGTGGCTGGGAAGCGTGAGCACAGCCACTCTGGGGTAGCCGGGCATGAAACCACAAGCCCTCCCCCGCCAGGCCTCACTCTACGCGGAGCTGGGAAGCGGCGCTGCACTCTGCTATCGATTTTCTGCTGCTTCATGTTGCCGCCGCCCATTAGCTGCCCACATCGTCTCGGATGCCCACAGCGACATCGCGGCTCAGCGCCTCCGATCCAAAGACATGAACGGAAGGGAAGCGGGCATGTTTGCAGGATGGATTAAATGCTTTACTAGACACACCAAAGCGTATCTCCCATTCATCACTCTTTTACGCTTAATAAATAGTCACACTATATACAAACAGACTGTTAAAAAGTCAGAAAATTCTTTAAAGGATGATTTTGTGTCTGTCAAAGTGTGTTAGCTTAGCCATTTCAAAGCTTCTCCTAAAGTCACCCCACGTACTTGTTGACTACTAGCATAACATTTTGGGCTAATCAGTGCTTCATCAAGTTATTTACGTTAAGTGAGCTGGTGGTGAGATTTAACAAATCCATGGAATGACTGAGGTGCCCCTGCAGAGAGGTTTGGGATCTGAAGCTGTGCTCATCTAGCCGTCCAAGAGATCAGTAACATTTTCAAAAAGAATAAATTCTTGTTATTTTATTACCATGTAACTGTTCCTTTGCAGATAGTGTAATCTGTTTTTTTTTCTGAGCAAACATACACTAATTACCCAGACATAATTAAACAGTTTCTTTGACTAAGATTTTGCACAGTACTGTAAATAAAAAAGGAAATAAAAGGATATAAAATATTAGAAATGATAAATAATAAATAATACAGCAGTGAGCCTGCTCAGGATTAATGGCTGGTGAATGGAAATAAAATTTTATACCTGTTTTAATCAGGCAAAACTTTGGAGTCTGGGACTTTGGAAGGTCCATCCTTAAACTGGGAGAAAAATCCTAGAATCCTCAGCTTCTGCCCAGACTGGACCATGGGTAAAAATTAGGCAGGGGGTTAAAACCAGCCAATACAACACCCTGCACCCCCTTAAATGGGTGTAGACCTCAACTCCCCCCCCCCCAATGCTCAACCCAAAGTTGGGGACACTCACCGTTAAGATTGGAGGTGAAGCAGAAGGCGTCATAGCGCTCGTCCTCCTTGTGCCGGTAGCCGTAGTTACGCACGCCGGGGGGGGTGTCCTTGTCGCCGCAGTGCTCCCGGGGCTGGGCGATGGGGTACTGCACGGACCCGTCCTCCAGCCAGCCCGCGTTGCACCAGTCCAGCCCCTCCAGCCAGGCCTTGTGCAGCTGCCCGTGTGAAGCCAAGATGGCGTCCTGCCGCCTGCATACCGCTTCTGCCTCGTGGTAGTTGAGCTTGTAGCGGCCCATGCGGGGATGGTAGGGGAACACCACTCCTGCCAGAAGACGGACGAGCGTCCAGAGCGGCCGGCTACGGCTGACGACTGATCTCCCGCATGCATTTTCACCCTAACCCTAACCCCTAACCCTAACCTAACCCTAACCCTAACCCTTGATCCTCATCTGTCCGAACGATGGATGATTTTTTAAGTATCACTTTTGCTCACGGGAAACACACACGAGGTGGAGAGCATCCCTCCTACTCACGCTTTAACCTTCACCTTCAAAGTCCCCTTAAACAAACCTGCGTCTTTATTATTGTTAATTATTTTCTATTTTAATGAATCCCTATTGCTCCTAAGGCGGGATGACAGCTTTAATGACCGCGTTCCGGGACGGCGCTTGCTGACCTTCCAGGTCGAGGTTGACGAAGCCGGTGTCGTCCTCCATGTCGTTGGTGACCTCGCACTCATAGCGGCCGTAGTCCTGCAGCGTGATGTTGTGGATGACGACCGAGGCATCACCGGGGCCCATGTTCTCCAGCGCCACGCGGCCCCGGTACGAACCGAAGACCTTCTGCTGCCGGCCCAGTGCAACGAACACGTCCTCGAACTGCAGGCTGTCCGACACCTTGGTCCACTTGATGCGGATGCGGTCCAGGTCGGCGCTCTCCGGTTCATGGTGGTACCGGCAGGGCAGGGTGATGGAGCCCCCGCGGTGAGTCACCACCTTACCGGGGGCGGTCTGCACAATGACAGCCCCGGTCTCATCCTCTGCGAAGAAACAGGGGGTCAGGCCGAGCTGGCCGCTTGTTAGGGCTGCTCAGGGATTATAATTTGGCCCCTAAATGGTCCCCCATGATAACTTCTGCCAAGCTGTACATTTTGCCAACTGGGGTCGGGATAATGCACCTAAGTGCCCGTATGGGAAATGGCTTGTCCTGCCCGGCAACTCGCCTACAACCCACTGACTTATTTGGTCTGTACCTCTCTAACCCCAGCTGTATTATGGGCAGCCAAACCACAGACCATGGCACCGGAGTACTCTGGAGTATTATTAAGAATGCAGTGATGAACAATCACACAAAAATTTTTATAAGACTTTATTAATGAAAGACGTTTAAAGCATGTTGTTTAAAAACAAAAATGTAATTTTTAGGCAAGCAAATGATACTGATTATTTACTCAGTGTTACTATTTGTTATGTACAGATCAGCCAGCGGTGGAAATTTCTGGTCCAGAAAGTATAAATCCAGACCAGGATTTTGTTTCAACCAATTAGCTGAGTACTCTGTCACTGTGACTCTTTATATGCAACTGGTTGGTTGAAACAAAATCTTGGTCTGGATTTATACTTTCTGGACCTGAACTATCCACCTCTGTTCGGCAGCAAGAGCCAAATCATGCATCACAAGGGGAAAAAAGTGTATCGTAATGTGAGAAGCCGTCGGCAATTTAAATAAAAATGACGTACCATATAAAGGTTATATCTGAGCTTTTCAAAAGCAAACAGACAAGATGGTATGATTTCATTGCCCCCCATGCCCCCCTCTTGTTCAGATGCATTCTGTGGTCTGTGTGCCAATCCACAAGAGTGCCAGCCTGCCCTGGGGCCTGTCTGTACACGGGAGTCCCGTCGGAGCTTATCTCAGCGCATCCCATGTAGAGAAAGGCACCCTTCCTGTCACCAGCATCGCAGACCCCCATTTACATATTGGCAGGTCTGCTCTCAATCTTTCTGCCCATTTAGAGCGAGCGTCCATTCGAGGGCCAATAATAACCTCGGCCCTTTGTTGGCTGGACGGCGGTACAAGAGACCCTTTCTGTAGGCAAATCGCGGGGTCTGTCATTAGCTGTGGCAGCTGCTCATTAGGGCCAGCATCTTAAAAGCCTCCATTTCAGACTGACTGTCGCTGTCCAATGAATACCTGCGAGATACAGATGCGGCCATTGAGATCAGAGGACTGCAGGTTCTTTGTGAATAACCTAGTCTACCACCATTGAATCACCAGGTCTACAACCGTTATTATGGCAGTAATGGGCTCAAAACATTTTAACTGCTCTGTTCTAGTCGTGCTAAAAGGATTTGCACACAGATGGCAGGTCGGTTCCTTTGTAGGCTGCACTATTTGGTTTAGACACAAGACTAATGCTGGCAGACATCTTTATTTCGGGATATCTGATTGTGAAGCTGGGCCATCCAGGATGCATGGAAGTTTATAAGCAGTGATTGCAAAATGGAAAATGTGCCATTTAATTGGCCCACCGCTCTACCTTGGGAAGCCGACATTTCGGTTTGTCCAGACGGCGCACTAGCATGCTTCTGAATATCTCGTTACTGCAATTACTGCTCCATAATTAAACATTTTCTCCAAAAACTATTCGGCGTTTTACCACTGAATGGCAAACACAGGCCAGAAAACAGGTAAAGGGCAGGGGTAATACTCAGAGTAGTGTTTCATTTACACGTCTTTGTGAAACAACAATAAAGGTGATATTAATACTTTCACTGATTTGGCGATTGGTAGCTTAATGCGCAATGCAGAACAGCCACACACTGAGACGAGCGAGGGATGAAAGAGAGGGGAGATTAAAAATGGTTTAACTGCCTAATTAGACCATTATGCATGTCTGTCAGAGAGAGAGAGAGAGAGAGAGAGAGAGAGAGAGAGAGAAACATTACCCAGCACATGAACCACCTTTCTCCTTCCTTTGTCTGCCTCAGGGAGGGAGGTCACAGGTGAGGCTAAGGCCAGAGCCATCCAGGTGATGGTCATCAACAGCAGAGGCTGACCACAGGGCTAAATATGACAAAAAACATATACGTCAGTCTCTTCTCCCTGCAGCACCATTGAAGGCATCTGTGACAAACCACCTGGTTCTTGCTGGTGTTTCCTAATGCCTTCCCCCCGGATGCCCACAGGCTGATCCTTAGCACAGTCCGTGTGCTTGCTGCCTATCAAGAAAATTAAGACAGGTGCTATCTATTTATAATATGGGGGCTTTACTAATGCCCAGGAACGGAAAGGTCCGGTGTGCCGACTAAATTTAGCAGCTTAGCAAGGCAAAACAATTCGCATAAGTTACAATTGTATACTTTGATAATTTATGCTGCTGGAGATGTTTATGGGATTTAGCCTCGGTAGCGCACTAAAATATGCAATATCCCTCAATCGCTGGAAGCTGCTGGCCCCTCGTCACGTGACCGTCCGCTTCGGGCTGGTCTGCGGTGCCGCTGTGTCAAACTGCAATGCCTCGCCGCAACTTCACACATGCTGTCACGTTACCTATACATGCACCGGTTAATATACTTCTCTAATATACCTGTGTTAACTATAGATAGTACGCTAGCTAATACGTGAAAACGCAGCACGCAACTATTTCAGTGCTCAAAAGTTTTATTAACTTTACAATGGTCTGCATTCAACTTTTTTCCCGTGAACTGGGTATATTTTTAATGTAACGTAATATAAAGTCGGTTATTCGTTCTGTTCCTTATGCGGCGATTTACACTTTATCATAAACTCTGCTGGATACCACAGTGGATGAATTTAGGTTAAGTGCCCAGTTAAAATGGTAAAAGCAGGCCCCTTCTGGGAACAGCAAACAAGTCCGTACCCCACTTTTGTACCTGCAGAAAGGCGACAGCGTGTCCCACTCGGATCCCTGTTTTTCTTTGCTCTGCATCTCGTCTTTCCTACCCATCGCTATGCTTAGCGCATTTTCAAGGTTATACGCACTGAGCACGAAGCGGTAGCCCGCCGCGATATTTCCCCTTCAAATATAACGAATACTTACCATCCTTAAGGCAACTGTAAATATTATTTTATCAGTTGTAAAGCTCCGTTTATCGTTAATTTCCTTTCACTGTCAGCTGGAAAAATACAAGCGGGATATTTTGCTGCAATATTGCTCTCGCCCTCCTGTCTCTCATTCTACCATCACTGCAGTTCCCCGTCACTTTTTCCTGCACACTGTACTACGTTTCTTTTTTTCCCCACGCAGGGGGGAAACTGCTGACTTTCCCATTCACCCCCTCAGACGGTCTAGCTGCGCATTTTCATACCCAGCAGCAGCGCGATGTCGCAGTAGCAGGATGTCGCCTTCAGACGCAGCCGTCCGAAACACGGACACCGGCAAACGCAATACACAGCGTCGCTTTCACACTGCTTTTGAGAAAGATAAAAGTCGATGTTTATTTTTATTTACCCTTTTATAATCATATTCCATACTTAATAACAGGTGTCGAAAAAAACTTTATCGCGACAGTTACTCCGAAAAAAGTGGAATAATGTTTTTGATGTCTGAAGTTTTTTTTTTCAGTTTTATGTAAAACTTAGCCAATAAAATTACGACAGATTCATCAAATATTATTTACAAAAAACAGGGAGCAGAATTATGCTGATATCTGATGTACTTTAGACGAGGGTTTTTACAGTGGGGAATTAGCTCAAATGGTAGAGCGCTCGCTTAGCATGCGAGAAGTAGCGGGATCGATGCCCGCATTCTCCAGGTTACCTGTTTTTAATTATTTGCATTAGCCAGCCAATGAAATAGTTTAATTTCCAATATTTGCTTCCATTTCTTACCATTCGGCTCACGGTCCTCCTTCCATTTCCCACCAATTAGGCTAAATAGTTTCATTTCCGAACTTTTTGCTTCTATTTCTTACCAATAAATCCGCTTGTTAAGTTGTTGACGTTCGAATAACGTGACAATACGGTTCCCGGGGCCAAACCTCTCGTCTTTTCAGCAACATATTTCAGCAAAGAATATAGCATTATGTATAACAACTGGACAGATTTGGTTTTTTATCAACTACTCGCTCTCCAGTGTTTATGTAATTTACTAGGAAACCAAAATGTTCCAAAACCGACGATTATGACGGACTGTAACCAGGATTAGCTGTAGCAAACCTACAGCCACTATTAATGTGTTTTTTGGAATTTTGGTCCTTAATTGTCTTGTCAAGAAATGTGTTAATTTGTGTCATAGTGTTTACGCACATACGCACTTCACTCTTTGAATTAAAGCAATTTAACCCCATTTTCACCCCCCCTCCGTTTTTAAACTTGAATTAATGGAAGTTAGTCCCCTTTTCATACTGAACGCTGCCTTGCTAAAGAAAGAAGCTACGGTAAAAAATGACACCACCACTAGCGTGGTGTGTTTGGACCGTTTGGCTACAGAATCAGATTTACATCATGTGCTGCATCAGACTTTACAAGCGGTATCCAGTATTAAAGAATGTATTTAAAATTTGGGATCAAACAAGGCTGTGTCCGAATTCAGGGGCTGCATGCTTCGAAGGATGCGGTCGATGAAGGTGCAGTTTTTTCAGGCTGCGTTATGCAAAGATCAAACAGAAAATTATGTCACATGGGACCGTTTGGCCAACAGATAATTTTCTATCTTCACGGGGCCCATAGTTTTCGGGGGCCCCAAGCGGTTGCATGTCTACCTTGCCTAATCTTAAAGTCCACCTCAACCGTCAGTCAGTAGTCAAGAGTAAACCAAAAAACCTTTGTGGTATGCAGACGGGCATTATATTATTCTTACTGATTTTGCGCAAACCAGACAGCGAGGTAAACAATTACAGAACAAGTAGAAAGACTACTAAAGTGTGCTACTCCTTAGGCATTAGCGGGAACTGCTACAATCTATATATTGCGCAATACTTTTATTTAGTATTTTCAGTCACTTTTGTGCAAATTTTAATAGTATCATGGTATTAATCCTTATTATGAATTAAAAATTTGTATAGTCCTAGTGTTATTTTAGAATTGTGCTGGCTACTTGAATGCCAGATATGAGAGCTTCTACTTTTTTATTCTTATTTGTAATTACTTATTTTGATTATAGAACATATTATTGTATAACATTATTGTATTATATAATGTTCATTATATAATGCTAGGCATAGTTATTTCTCCACGACTGAATACGACAAGCAGGTACAGAAAATGGATGGATGGATGTTACTTATTGCATTATTTATTGCGTTTATATTATATTAAGCAATGAACAATCTTTATTTTTCTCATCGTTTGGCAGAAACAATCGTCTAAGGCCCCACGCGGGGCCACGGATTCGTCTTTCAAACAAATGCGATGTCAACGTGAAATACTGAGTTAAGTATGAGAGGCTATGCTGCTTCTTTAAAGCAGTTCAGCTCAGCGCAAGTACAACTTGTGAGTCTCTCCTGTGTGCCTGAGCAGAGGTCTGCAGAATCCCTTACCGCGTGAGCGGGGACGACAGTACCGCACGCGCGTTTGATTTAGAACGGCTGTCACGCGGATTGCACCGTCTGCATGTGGGACGTTCCTCTCATCAGCATGAAAAAGCTGCTGAGAGCTAAATTGTGTATCTCAATCAGGCAGAATTTTAATGAAGCTGAAGCTGTTGTTAAATGGGGCGTGGGGGGGGTGATTCTGTCAAACATGGAGAAAGTGAGATCCCATGTAGATCGTGTTGACAGCAATGGATATATCATTGCCAAACAAGCCTGTCTTGTACAACAGAACTACACAACCCAACACTGTAGCTTGGGAATGCACCTGAAGTCAAAAGAGCTGCTCAGTGAGGACCTTCAGCAGTGACAGTGTCGACCCTATCATCTCCAGCTGACGTGTGTAAAAATAAACACGCACAGGTGAGCACACGTTCATTACTATGTCACTGTAACACAGCAGTAAGAAGGCAGCACAGAGTTCACAAGGGCATCTGCGTGGAGGATGTGCTGACGTGATGCAGACAGTAATTTGACGTGAGCAGCATTGTCAAAAGCAAGTTTCAGGACTACATCTCAGGCTTAGACGACATTCCACGGATTCACAAGCAAGCAGATGCATTACGGTTAACAGATTCTGAAGAGTGAGAGACTGGTATCATACGACAAAAACACCCAACGGCTCTGATGATTTATTACCCAGTCAGTCTCTGCTTGAAAAAAGTAGAGTGAAATAAAATTAGCCACCAACTTTCATTTCCAAGTTTGTTATGAAATATTGGATATTTGAATTCTGTATTTGAATGTCATGCCGTTATCTTCCATAGCAGAATGATTGTATTATTACATTTATTACTAAAGGCTTCAATGATTAGAGAGTCTCCTCTCTGAGTAATGAACAGACACAAATCTCTCAATTAGGATGTGAGCTGTGTATGTTTAAACTGGCAGCCGTAGTTAACCAGAACTCGGACCAGAATCATCTTACGGCTGCAGTTCATCTTTGCAATACATAGGCAGAGTCTAATGTTTGATTGGGGGGGGCAAAAGAATAACCTGCCTTTCTTACCTTATGTTTTAATGCATGTATGTGATACACACATTGCCTGTTATTTTGCCAACGGGTACCAACAAATCTCTTAGCACAGCACGATTTTGACTCTGGTGTTTGGTGGGGGGGCAGAATGAGCTAAGCCATTAACCACCCAAAATGTTCCAGGAGCGCTGGACAAATGGCCTGACCTTGCACTGGGACCACAAGCTTCATTCTCACTGTATATCCAGAAGGAGAGCATGATGGGATATGTGTCAAGAGGAGTTCTATTATGCCTACAGTATACTCGCTTGTGCAAATGGCAGATGAAGCATCATTTGTTCATTTCATTTTCTGTTCTTGTCAGCCTTCACTCTCAGAGAATGTCGGTGTCAGTTACAGAGATGCTGCAGTTTCTTATTTCATCTCATCTTCCCTATACAACTGCTTCAAAGTTTGTACGTTATACTGCATTAAAACTTTTATCATAATCAGTCCAAGAATTAATGGAATTTACTGTATCATTCTGTATAAGCCCAGAGTTATATTCCATTAATCTGACCATTAACACATTAATTTTATTAATTTCACCCCTGGGAACACAAACTAATAAGTAGACTCATTTATTAGTGTTACACAGTCAGGGTGGGAGAGCTGACTGAGAGAGAAACAAGGTCAGACCCGGGTGGGGGAATGAGCTTTGGTCCCGCGGTGGCTGCTAATTGCGTTTCCTCTCACCCCTGGCCTGATCCCAGGTGCCGTATTCAGGTCGATGACGGGACCGGAGTTGCAGCACGGGGCCGGGAGTTGGGGGAGCACCACCTATGTTGGATCGAAAGGTGACGACGGGCCCCCGCCTCCCCCAGGGGATTTGGAGGCTGAGCGGGTGCAGAGAACGGCCAGCGTGGGACCGGCGAGGCGAGGCGGGGGGGGGACATCGCAGGGGGGATCTGCTCCTCCACTAGACAGACAGCATGGAGAAAACCAAAATGTGGCCATGAATCACACGGAAGTAAGTGAAATTAAATGGAATTATGTTGAGCCATTATGCGGTGGTTAGCGCTACTGACTTACATGTGGGGGACTAGGGTTCGAGTCCCTCCTTTCCTGCTGTGCGGAGTTTGCATGTTGTTGTCGTCGTCATTCGTGTTTCTACTGGGTTCTTTGGCTTCCCCTCACAGTCCAAAATCATGTTAATTAGAGTTACCAAATTCCCCATAGTTGTGAACAGTATATGTATCTTGTACTGGATTATTCCCAGGATTGTGCTCATCGTGAACGTTTCTGCCTTCAAAACACAGAAAGTGATACACAGTAAATAGAAAGAACTGTGATGTAGGGATGTAGTGCTGTACACCCCTTTAAATAAGCGATAACTTCGACAACCAAGGTTAATGTCACCAGGCAGGCTGATTTATTCCACATGCGTTATCCCGCTGAACCCTGCCTCCCTGCCGGTGCTGTCACATGACGCCACGCTGTTCCCGGCGCCCTTTTTGGATTAAGAATGCCGAATCCAGAGACGCTTTAGCCGTCACGCTGCGCCGGAGCAAGTAAACAGCAGCTGCAGACAGACCTTTAATACTGACGGTGCCCTGATCAAAGGCCGCTGTCGATTAGCCCACGCTATCGGGAGCCAGATGAAAGAAATCCGCCTGTAATCTACATAATGTACGCGGCTGTCAAGGGATGGGCCGTTCCGGCCTGTCATGGCGGTAATACTTGTCAGGGGGTGTAAATAACAACACCATGGTTTATGGGAATATGAATATGGTGCAGCCAGGCTTATATCTGTGGCCTGGGAGGCTTGTTATCCTGACTGCACGTATGTTATGCTGTCGAAAGAGCCGGCGACCGCATGACAGAACTCCGCGTGGGGGGGTGCCGGGCCCCCCATGATGACAGCTGATAGGGCGCCAGTGATGTCCAATAATGACCACCGGTCAGGTGAGGGCGGGGCTCTGGGGCCAGATGGGGCGGAGCTTGGGATGAGGAGGGCAGCATCCAGAGCAGGAGGATCTAAGGTTCTGCAGGTACATTCTCCAGGGCGTCGCCGGTGCCACAACCGACTGTGTGCTATAACAGGATGTGAGGACAGTGAGGCAGCCTTTGGAATATAAATTGCTACTTACTATGCTTTTTACACTGCTGAACACTGCAGTGAATGAGCACTACAGCCTCGCTGTATATAGAAGCCTTTGAATACATATTGCTGGCGATGTACTTAAGGTCCATCACTTTTTCATTAGCAGACTTGTCCGGCATGTTATTTCTACCTGCAAAGATGGAGCACTTGCAGAAGCAATCAAGCTAACCGTCGCGCCTCATTAGCATAATAATAGCTTACCTCAGGGGGGGGAAAAATAACGGTCAGAACCGCCATTTGTGGTAAATAGGTTTCCTGAGTCTTTTAACTAACTGTAGTTATGAGGAGGTGTGATTAGTTGACTATGAAACCCAGCAGGAAGTATCCCAGAATCCTCTGGGGCATGGTAACTTGGACTGCAGTGAACTGATGGCCCATCCCAGCTTATCATGATTGATAATCAATGAGTCCAACTCATGTGCATCGGAATCCTGAACGGCATGTTTATGGCACACAACCCCCACCACCCCCCCCAGCCCCCTTTGTTGCTTTAATCTAGGACTCGGACCCAGTGGGGGGATTATCTTATCAAGCGCTCGCCACTCCGCTTCCCCGCCTGATCGATGCCTCGCCATTGTGCCTGTTCTCCAGCTGCGGCGAGCGCAGGCGATAACCCACTGGCTCGAATGAAAAGGAAACAGGACAAAACAAAAGCCCACACTACAAGAAAGACAAGGCGCGCGAGAAAAGAAGAAATAAACGACAGACGCATTCAACAAAAGCAGAAAAAAAATGTAAGCAGAGATACTGCAGGCATGTTTGGTATTTCACTTATACATCAGAGGCAGCAAAAATGCAGATAAAGAGATTTAAGGTAAGCAAATTTCATAATGTTATGATGAGAGGAAATGTGTTTTTAAATGTGTTTTTAAATGATAATAGAATTTTACTAATGAGTTATTTCAAATTGAATTGTTTCATAATTTAATCTGAAAGACAGAGGAGATACTACCTCTTCTAGCTCTATGGACCAAACGCCTCTGTTATACATATAAAATATAATGTTGATCTCCTGGCCATACCTCTCTGGACATAACAGCTATCATCTGATCTCAGCCACCCCATCCAAGGTGCCTATTCTCCAGACCACCCCCCTGTGACCAAGATGATTATGATAAGGGGTAAGAAGATGGATGGATGGATGGATGGATCAAATGTAACGTTGACCTTCCATACAGAAGAGCTATCGATTTGGTCTAGTAGGGTGCCTTCCATACAATCAATAAAAGGTTGCAGAAAGTTTTGATTTTAGTTCTTAGCCTGTATATTATCTTTTCTAGGAATCCGTTCATTTTAGACATCTACATTCCCAGTCTGATGTTGCCTGACTTTCATTTAATGCGATACATTTTTAGCCATCGCTAATATATCTCTGCTTGTAAGTTTTACAGCACAGCACTGCTTAAGGTTGGAGTGAGTAATATTGCGCAGGAGGAGACAGATGTCTGGATACGTTGGGATGATAATTCTATGAATTTCGGATGGGGGTGTCACATTCACCTTGCCAAAAGCTGTGAACTTTAGAGCATGATTAAGTAGAAAGTTTAAAAAGTTCCTTCAACTACAGTTGAAGAAATGAAGTCCTGCAATCTGGATGTAAAAAGTTAGATTTTATTAGTCTATACCTGGAATTTTTAGTAAATGTAACACATAATTTCCTATCTATGCTTACGCTCAAATTTCTCCCCCAACTAATTTTGTTCTTCTCCGACTCAGGCACAGAACGACTTGATATAAGAGCATTATACTGCTTAGAGATCCCAGGCTTTGTACAGTGGCTGATCTAGATGATAGTATTTCCATGTGTGTCATAGAGAGTAGGTTCCGCTGGGGTCCTATGCTGACCCTGATAAAGTCTCGTAGTTACAATTGGCCGGAAAAAAAATCTTATTACATAAATGATTTTCCTGTTTCAGCAGTAAAAACCCATCTTCATTGCAATGTTCAAACAGCCGATTCCTTTTTTGGGCTGTAATCTGAAATTCTTATTATGAAAAATCACTTGTCCCTAGGGACATTTTTTGGGGGGGGAACTTTCATTCCCAAGGTTCTCCAGCAGTTATTTGTGGCAGTTTCGATTGAGCTTTATCCCATTGACATCCCTGTTGGAGTTTACGGCTTTTCAATATTAAACCAGAAAGGGGAAGGACCATCAAACGTCTCCATAGCCTGCATAATAATCCATTTAAAAATAGTTACAGTTCTGCTTGATCATAGTCCAGAGTTAATCTTAGCTGTAACTGCCACAGTTTGCTTTTTGTTTTCTGCCTTTTAATTACATTTGTATGTTGTTTAATTGGACTACACTGCATTTTTACACTGCACTGCACACACACACAAAATACACTGTATTTATATTATATTGTATTGTGTTGTAGGTGGTGCAGTGGTTAGCACTGTTGCCTCACACCTCTGTGACCATAGATCTAGTCGCTGACATGGCTCCATGTGTGTAGAGTTTGCATGTTCTCCCCAAGTCATTCTGTCTTCTCCAGATTGCTCCCCACAGTCCAAAAACATGCTGAGGTTAATTGGAGTTTACCCATAAGTGTCTGAGTGTTCGCTGCGATGGGTTGGTGCTCCATCCTGGGTTGTTCCCTGCCCTGTTCGCGTAGCCTCCAGGATAGGCTCTGGACCCCCCATGACCCTGAATGAGACAAGCAGTAGCAGGAAATGTATTGTGGGTGTAATTTATTGTATTGGTATTTATGTGTAGCTCCATCGGGGCTCAGGAGAAATTGTATTTCAGCTCATGGATGTGTCGAAAATAAAGAACTATTGAGTCTTGATTCGTTCACTGAGAGAGAAAAAGACAATGAAACATGTATAGTCTGTGAATATACCGAAAAAGTTATGCAAGATGTTCAGTTTGATTACGTGAAGGATCCATCAGTGCATTCATTACTGACCCTCTACAAGAGTCAGACCAGCCTGAGTTTATAAAGGGTTTTTTAGTTTCTTCATATACACCCAAATACAAGACAGGAGGTGAGCATTTGAAAGGAAACATATTATCTGCAGTTTTACAGTCAAAAAGAGACAATTTCACTTTCATCATAGTAGACCTCATATCCAGAGAAAGAGCTTCATAACTGTTATAAATCCTATAGATTCTAAAGGAAGTCTTTTGTACTTAGCAATTATAAGATCATTGTCCTGCTAAAAGTGATGTGTATGCATCAGGAATGTCAGGGCCAGCCTCAAAGCCTCTGGTTCTGAAAGCCTCAGTTAATGGTTCTATGGCGAGTACAAAGCGGATAGGGTTAAGATGACATCATCATTTCTGTCCCCAATATGGAGGAAACAGACTAAAAATGACCAGGGACAGTGGAGGTTTGTACATTCGTGAAAGAAAACCTGCCTTTTTTCATTTTAGATGCTGTATTCTGAACTGAAAATGGTTGAAAGCTAATTCTTACCAAGCTGACCTGAGGTTAAGTCTCTGTATGTCCCAATATATATTCAATGTTTCAGAGGTGAGAATTAAGCATAGATGGGCAGCTCCTCTCAGCCAGTGTCTCCACTCATTTGATGCTAGTTTACAGCAAGCAGTTCCAAATTCCCTTCATGGTCATTCTTTCGATGTTTCTGTGATTGACCTTTGAGGATCACTCTGCCAGTGAGACACGACAGTCCCCATTCTACCTCCAAAGCTTCTGCTTCAACAAAGGGGACCTCTGGACTGGACTAAGTGAATGAGGCTTTCAGAATTAACCAGAACGAGGTTCTAGGACAATGTTCCCCAACCTGGTCCTCGGGGAGCCACAGATGGTCTGCGTTTTTGCTCCCTCCCAGCTCCCAGACTGGACTGTCTGAGCAAAAACATGGACCATCTGTGGCTCCCCGAGGACCAGGCTGGGGAACAATGTTCTAGATTCCCTAATCAGTGATGTGAGGAGCCCCACATTACCGAAGTTACATACAGTTATAAACGTTTGCTAAGCCCAGGAAATACGGCATCTCCCTGTCAGTCTTTGACATGAGCCACTCCTGATCCATCTTTAGCACTTGCAAGCTTAGTACTTAACTGAGCAAAGGTACTTCCTTAACATGGAAATCACATTTTTCCACCTTTGTGTACAAATCACTGTCCAAATTGTCATAATCGATACAGGGCCGGAGGCCTCGTTTGCTGTTTCTATAAAGAAAAATCTAGAAGCCATGGGCAAGGTTGATAGATATAGTTTTGAGGGCTTCATTAATATGTTGTAAATGAGCCTTAGAGGTTAGGGAAGAGACGATGGATAAATTCGGCTTTGAGGAAATGATGTACTGGGGAACAATTTGCAGGAGTAGTCCCAGGGTCGGAGTGGAAGAAGCGAAGGCAGCTTTGTTTAATGCAAGCATCTGGAACTCTCCATATTCAGGGGATACATTA